CTCTGGCTTTTGGTAGCTAGAGGTCAGTAGCTTCTCTAAGGACACAGAAAGATCCCAGTACGGAGCAGGGTCCAGGGCCATCGACCAGTCAGGTTCCGTCTGAGTGATCTGACCAGCTCATTAGTGTGTGATTCTCCTCCAAAAAGACTAATTGCAGCTATGCTCTGATTGTAAGAGCTAATTGATGAATATATAGTAATATATTCATTTGATTTCTCCAAAGTGGACTGGTTTAAATTACCTGCCTCACTTATATGCTCTTCATGGGCACAAAGGGAGAGGCACGCAGCCAATAGAAGGGCAGAGTGGTGGGAAGCTCCTCCCACATTCGAATATCAAAGGCCAGAGTAGGGATTATAGAAAGTTGTAGCACCCAAAGTGACAATAAACAGCTGCTGAAGAAGTTAAGAGTTAAGGGACAACTTTTATCTTTCTGCCCGGCGCTCAGTTTGGTAGGAAATCAGAGAAGAAAGGGAAGGAATGGATTTTGATGGATTAGTGGCTTGGACGTCCAGAGAGAATACAGAGTGCGATCGCGATGGAGGAACAACAGCCCAGTGTGTGTGAAAATGGGACGTGACCACACACATGCCTCAGACCAGTCAGGCTCGCGGGGACAATCACACATGTGCAAGTAAACGAGGACACTCTGATTTTCCAGTGCAGACTCCTCATTAGCATTAAGATATGCAGTAACTTGGAAAGTGGAATATAGCAGAATTCAATGGATTCTACTCTCGATAGTTCATTTTCCGGCATTTCTACAGACATATTAGTGGATTTGGTTGGGGTATTTTTTAAATTTCACTTATTTTATTTTAATTCAAAAAAGAATGTCCTTAAAGAGGGGTCTCTCCTCGTAGGAGAAGGTCATGTTAAATGAGGAAGAAGAAAGCTCCATCATCCCCGAGCCCTATAGTATTCCGAAAAATGAGATATGTTACTTATTTATGAGCTGTTGGAAGGGTAATACATTTCGAAAGCTACGTGTTTCAAAAAGATTAAAATCCTGTTAGGTTTTGATTAAAAATGTTAGAAGAAGTTCCCTTACTACAGAGACCAGCAAAGTGCATGGTGAATATAAACACAGAGACACACACATTTTAAAGAGCGATCAAATGTGTATAAAGCATGTACTGGCTTGTTCATCAAAGCTAGAGAAGTAGCAGGTTAATCACAAACAGCCACCTCACAGGCATTAACATGGCTGAAATGACTAGTTATTATCCGAGATACCGATCTCTGCCAAGGATACCCAAATCGCAGTGACCTGCCCTGCACTCACCCGTAATGCGGTGCCGTAATTGAGTGTTGTTTCATCAGCAGCTCCAGAGAGGCTATTACAGAACATGTGTAGCACTGAGTGAGGCCGCTCCTGGCAGCACTGTGAGCCTCACAAACTGATCCCAGAACAGCCTGCTCCCAGGGGACCAAACAGCCGGCTTTGATCCCGATTGCAGTTTCTTAATTGGCGTTTTTCGGTCCTACATGATCGTGCTGCTGCGTGTGCCTTCGTGGGTGTGTCGACACCAGGAGAATCTAATTACAAAAATCACTGAAGTTGGAGAGTTTTACAAAAGCACTTTAATTTTTTTTTTTTAAGTTAGAACTATGTTGAGGATCCAAGACCAGATAAAAATAACAAGAATGATTTTCTAGTGTTACTGGCTTTGAGTCAAAAGTCTTAAGGTGACCTCCAAAAATTAAAGAAAATGAAAGGTTATCTATATTCAAATATTACTTTATTTATTGCATTTATAGTTATGTTCTATTAACCCAATGCTTTTGACCATAACTTTGATAGTACCACATCACCTTGATAACCTGGGTTAAAAACCAATAAAGGAAATATAACAAAGTCATTTTTTAGGCATTCGGCTAAATGAAAGGATCCTTATAGGATGTTACTGGTCCTCATGGTTTGGCCGGCGTACAGCTTCCAGAGCTTTTAGCTGAGGCCAATCATGTGACCATCGGCAAGATACCAACAGGCCAGTCAGTGAATGACAGAAAGACCCTCTGTAACTCTGGCTGAACAAGGTCTTGTTTGATAAAACTCTCAATGAGGTCCAGGGCGGTGCGTGTGCGTGTGTGTGTGTGTGTGTGGCGGGGGGGGG